ATACTGATTTCTTGAAAAATCATATTAAAGTTTTATATCCATGTTTGATACACTGCAATTGCTATAAAACCATGGTAAATTAATTTATAGGAAAATACTTGGTGTACTCCCATTTTAAACTCCCAACTTGTACTCCCTCTAACATACTCTTGACTCTTGATGTAGACATTTTTTTGTGGATCCACATGATGAAAATAACCAATCCTGATTTGCCACCTCAGGGAGTATAAATGAGGGAGTAGAATTTTGGGAGTCTATGTAGTAGAACTCTAGTTTATATTTGTTTGCTATTCAATCAGGTTTTAAGGTGCTAATAATACCTACAATATTAGATGGAACGTGATGCAGGAGACTACAATATTAAACTTTGAAGGTAATGTATTAAACACCCGGTTTTTCTTTTATATTTGTTTAATATTCAATCAGGGTTTAAGTGCTAATAATAATTACTAAACTGATCGAGTGTACTTTGCCGATTTAATAACTTTACCACATGTATAGGGACAATCCAGTTCCTGATAGTAGAGTGGTATCAGAGCTTAGGTTATTAAATCTTGGATACAGAAAATAGAATTGATTAGGCTCTGATACAAGATGGTATCAGAGCTTGTTGTAAAATCTTGGGCATAGGAAATAGAATTGATTAGGCTCCGATAAAAGATTGTATCAGAGATTAGGTTGTGAAAATCTTTAGCATAGAAAATAGAATTAATTAGGCTCTGATACAAAGTGGTACAGGCCTTTGGGTATTACGGAGGGTTTCTCATAAATATACTTGTCATTACCTCAAATATTGAAAGTCGAAAGACTATGGAGGAAGGCTTCAAACCGATGTTCTCAATTCAAAGCATGTGTCTAGGAATATCATTGGCCTTCTATACAACCCGGTTCCAAGAATAGTTGAGGTTGGTTCCTCCTGATCAATTACCCAACAATATTGGAGATAGGTATGGAGGATTCATTCAAAACAAGTTGGGTGTAGTCACACACAAAATGAGAGCATGCATAGTATTTTAACGAGCAAGACAACACATTGGACATGATGGATCCACCTCTATTCTCTTTATAATCAAATTCGTAGTAGTGGGGAAGATATCATTAAGGGCTCTACATAAACAAGTCCTCTAGTTGGGGGACTTTAATTTTCCAAATGGGATCCATTTGTCAAAAACTCTGGGGCTATCTTCAAAATCATCAATCATATGCCTGTATCCATTCTTCACTGAATAGCAACCCTTGTGGTCTCCCTGTCAATACCACGAATCGTCATAGTCGGGGCTAATGAGATCCCAGTGATACAACTCACATCATCAGGGGTCAAAATATCAAACAAAATAAAGAGATCCCACATATTAGTATCTTGATCAATCAAACTTGAAACCATATAACCACTCAACTCATGGGGCATTATGGTTCGTACCATTGGATTAGGATCATCAGGTAGCCACGGATGTCCCCAAATTAGAGTAGTCCTATAATTACCAATTCTGCGCCTTACACCACTACATACCAAGTCTTGGGCAGCCATAATACTATGTCAGCAAAAACTTGGGCAATTTCCCGCAGAAGCATCGATAAAAGAGGTTTTAAGGAAATATCTTGCCTTATAAACTCTAGCTGCCAAAGACTGAGACTTGATTAGGAAACCCCATGTCTGTTCACCTAACATGGCTAAATTGAAAGCTCGCAAGCCCTTAAAATCTAAACCTCCATATTTCTTAGGGGCACCGATCACAGGCTTTCCAATGGATTCCCCTCTCATTACCAGTACCCCATCAATAACGGTTCATGATCTTCTCAATAGATAGGCAGGCCGTCTTAGGAAGCAAGAAAACACTCATGGAAAAGGTAGGCATAGATTGAGCCACACTTTTCAAGAGAATCTCCTTACCTGTCTGTGAAAGAAGTTTCTTATTCCACAAACCAATTCTCTGCTTGATCTTATCCTTTATGTATGAAAAAACTGCCCTCTTATTTCTCCCTACAAAAGATGGCAAACCAAAATATTTCTCAAAATTGGGAGCCTGAGCCACGCCTAACACCAATGCCACCTCCTCCCTAACTGCCTCAGATGTATTTCTGCTAAAACACACACTAAACTTATGAAAATTCACATCCTGACCTGACAAATTCTCATAAACACTAAGGCGGTGCTTAATAACACCTGCTTCCTAGGCATTTGCTCTAAAGAATAAGGCTATCATCTACAAACAATAAGTGGGAAATAGGTGGAGCCCCTCTGACCACCCTACAACCATGAATAGAACCCTCCAACTAAGTTTAAGTACATAGACAAATCAACGACTTTTAACCAATAAAAACATAGACAAAATTTTCTCCGTGTTTGCTTTGAAACGTGTGAACAAGTGATTGGAGTATGATTCTTATATCTAAATGTCACAAATTGAATTCTTGTTAACACCCTATTGGTCAAGACCATCTATAAATAAATAGATTTCTCTTTTTGGTAGTAAAAAATATCTCTAATTCAATGTTTTCTTTAAGTTGTTTTGGATGGGGACAACAATTTTTGTCCGGTAATTTTTAATAAGTTGATAATTGAAATTAAAATTTTAGAAAATGGAAAACTAACTATACAAAACTTGTCACATAAGAGAGTGGCAAAAAATTAATTTTTGTAAGGATAAGAAACATTTTCCTTTGGATGGTGTAATGTGAACATGGCAAGGTGTAACAATGATTTTTTTTCTTTGTTGTAAATTAAAAAGTTTCCTCGGACCCCTAGAATGCAATAGATATAATAGTATATAAAATAAGAGAGAAAAAAAGAGATAGAGAGAGGGAAATTCAATCTTATTATTCATCATTCAACCAATATGTGCAAGATATATAGAGTTCTGGGACAAGATATATAGAGTTCTAGTCAATCTATAAGTCTATAAAGAATAAAGAGATATTATCATAGGGAAAATTATAAAAAATGTTCCTCTATAATATGTCAATTATCAAAGTCACCCCTGAATTATGAGTGGTGTAAATGTTGTCCTTCAATTATCAAAATGGTGCACATATAGCCCCTCCCGTAACGGGCCTGTGGTTCCCCACCGCTGTCCATATTTACTCCGACTTAACGGTGTCATACACTAACGGGGAACCACATGTCCGTTACGGGAGGGGCTATATGTGCACCGTTTTGATATTGAGGGGCAACATTTACACCACTCATAATTTAGGGGTGACATTGATAATTGGCATATTATACAGGGGCATTTTTTTACAATTTTTCCTATTATCATATTCAAAGTCATCTAGCAATGTCCACATTTAATTTATTTATTTACAACATTTCCCCTGGGACATTAGTACATTACAAGAAAAGAAAAATACAACTATTGATCTTCAAACCCCAATATTTAGGATTGTTTCAAGGAAATGCCACTCCCTTTCAAAATGATAATCTTCTAAGTTTACACATTCTAATAGAGTAAACATGTCTTTCAAAAGTGTAGACAGAGATTTGGTGAACAAATCTGCTAGATTGTCACTAGAATGACCATTGACTCTTACGAAGATTGTGTGATTTTGTCAAATTTTAAGAGTTAATACCAAAAATAAACATGTTGTTCAAAAGTAAGTGTAAAAAGAGATTTGGTGAAAAAATCTGCTAAATTGTCACAAGAATGAATATTTTGGTTTGAGTTAATGCCATTTTTGGTCCTAGACTTATTAAGGCATTGACACTTTTCATCCTCCATCACTCAATCCGTCTCTTGGCCGTCTAATTGAAGGGCAAATATATCTTTTTATCTGGAATTGCTGTCTCCGTACCTCTCGAAGCTTCTCAGTGTTGTTATCCGCCGCCTCCGCGACCACGACTCAGCCGTCCACTCCGCCTGCATCACCGCCTCTGCCTCAATCTCCTCGCACTTAACCAATTCGCCGTTCTCCTTCATCATGAAGCCGTTCCTCGAGGCGCTATTCACCGAACATGAAATGAACTCTCAAATCGGCGTCGCGCTGTGCTTGGCGGTGGAGATCAAGGCCGTGCCCAATCCGGATGTGGTGAGCTTGCGGAAACAGATTCCGAGGTTCGAGAAGCTGTTGAAATCCGAGGGCTTCAAGGCTAAGGCGGTGCTGCTTATGCTGATTGGCAGCGCAATCGCTATTGGAGTCGCATCGAATCAGCAAGTTGTGAGAAATTTAGTGCCGCGTTTGGTTGAATTTGTGAGCAGTGAGGATTGGGCGGCGAGGAAGGCTAGTGCTGAGGCTTTGTTAAGGCTTGGAGTTGCAGAAAGGGAAACACTATCGGAGTTTAAGGTCTCTTACTTAAAAGACCTTTGAGGTCAAACGATTTGATAAGGTTTTGCATTCATTAATTCAGTTTTTTATATTTTCATGAATGATTTTCTTGCGCTTGTTGAAATGTCAATTGATTCTGCAGGTGTAGACTGTGAGGGAAACAATGAGCCAAATGCTGGAAACGTGGAAGGAGATTCCTGATTTATCAGATAATGCATGTCTTAGAGAATAAAAAGACATGTTTACCCTTCAATTAGACAGCCAAGAGACATATTGAGTGACGAAGGATGAATAGTGTCCAACAACCAATAATGGTGGCTATTAAATGGCAATTTTTATTATGGAGGATGAAAAGTGTCAATACCCTAATAAATCTAGGACCAAAAATGGCATTAACTCATTTTGGTTTTGTCAAATTTAACTCAAGAATGATCAACCAAGTTTGATGGTCACGCCATGCCAAGTTTGGTTCTAACTTTTTACTTCGACCACCTGTCGCCCTCTTAACTCTTTCCCATTTAGGGCTGTGAATTTTAGGGGATAATAATTATTAATTACCTTCTATTACTAGTCTGAGAGGCAAGGCAGATATGAAGAATACGATGATGATGAACATAATTTGTTGAAGAAAGGTGTTGAGAAGAAAATAATAATGTACATAATTTGTTGAAGAAAGGTGTTGAGAAGAAAATAATAATGTACTAATAGACAAAAAGAAACTTAAAATATCCTGCAAAATATAATGTGAATGAACAAATGAATTGAGGTGGAGCAGGATTTTACAAAACCTTGAAAAACAAGTACTGGTCAAGTTACAAAGACCCACCCACCCACCACCCATGCAAAGGTCTTCTCCACTTTGCCAAATCCCCCCTGACGAAATTTACACCATTTTCAGATAACCCTTCCATTCTAAAAACAAAACAAAATGACCCTGACCCTGACCCTACATCAAATTTCACCAGCCCCTAAACCAACTCTGTGAAGCTAAAGATTATCATCTACAACTACACATCGCCTAATATAGAAGCAGCTTCCCCTTCTTCTTGATTACACTTTTCTTTCCACTATTTTCTCTTCATGTCAGGGAGATTTCCCGGATAAGACTCCACTGCTACCTCTGGGGTTGATCTGAACCGGCAGCACTTGGTCCAGCTCCATTTTCATTTGGGGGTAAAGTTCCCCACTTTCCTTCAGACTCTGGTGGCTCCAGTACGATTACACTACCATCGCTCAGTCCCAGCGCAAACTGATTAGGGTCAGACGGGTGTGCAGCAATCACTAGAGGATGGACTCTCAGACTGCACAATCATAATCTCAATGTCAATAAGCTAAGTGAAGAAAAAGAGACTGCAGGGTTGGATCGTTATATACAAGAAAAGATTTGTAAACAGTGATAACAACCTTGGGTTAGAAGTGAGGTATGAAGTAGGGTATATTCGACATCTCCATCGGAGGTTTGTAGCTGTTAGAATACCTACACCTCCATCTTCAAAACTCACAAATATAGACTGGCTATCGCATGAATATGTAGCATGTGTGATTGCACTTGCTTCTCGGGGCACCCACTATTCAAAGATTAATTTAACAAACTTGTTAGAATTGGGTCCGTAATATATAGGACGGTTTAGTGGGTAGAGGAAAGTTACTGCATACCTGTCTACGGCAGTCCAGTTTGGGTGCTTCATATATGGCTATCTGTGTCTCGTGCACTACTAGCAACTGAATCTGATCCTGGTGAAACTGCACACGGGTGTCTGCAAGAGAGGCAGCTGAGCGCCCTACTGGAATTTGCAAGCATTTACTTGTCTGCTTCTCCCAAGCATCAGTGCTCCAAACACACAACTGTGAAACCAGAAATAGATCAGTGACTGAAAATTTTACATATAAGTGTCTCCAAAATAACTTCTTTTTTTTTTTGGTTAAAAGAACAAGAGAACACAAAATGACAATCATCTGAATTTTCCATAATAAATCCAAATTTCTTATTGTACACGCCTTTTGGAAACTTTTTTACCTGAGAGTCAGCTCCTGACGATACAAGTACATTCAGAGCATTAGAGAATGCAAGGCCGGTAATTCTTTTATGATGTCCTTTAAGCTTGGTTTTCACCTGTATTAAATCCATGAAAAGCGTTTAGAAAATCTGAAATTTGAAAATTTTAAAGCTGAATGCAGACTTGCTACAAACCTCATCGACTCGGACATTATATATTTGGATCGAGGAATCCTCCATGCCTATAGCTATAATGTTGTTGTCTTGGGGATGGAACGCCAAAAATGTAGCTGCAGGCGGAGGGGACATGAAGGTTGTCATAGTCTGCAGGAAGAGTACCATTTAGTTATCACAGATATATGATTTGAAATATGAGAAACCAAGTTCAGAGAAATTACTGGAAAAATAGCCACTTACCTTAAAAGTCATCATATTAAATAATGATATTTTCCCTCCAGAAGCAGACATGACATAAGAATCATTCTTAGACAATGCAAAGCAAGGAACTGCATCTTCTGGATTTGTCTCACTGATATCATTCGTCATCAATATTCCACTTGCAGGCTGCCATAGTTGAGGAGCGATACTAGCATTTGCCTAGAAAGGGCAAGTTTAAAAATGAGCAGCAAGTAAAAAATATTTACTAAATATTTTGAATTTGTGAAATAGCCCTCTACCTTTCCATTAAGGTTTCTTTCAGTCTTAGGCCATTTCCAGAGTTTGTGCACCGCATTTGCAGCTAATGCCAATATGGCAAATGCCGAATTTGTGTATATCAATCTTGAAATCTGAAAATCCACCAATATGAGTGGGATAAATAATTCTGTTACAAAATTGACAATTTATCTGAAGCAAAGCAAGCAGGCAAAATACATAAACAGCCATTATCAAACTTGAACAGATTAAACCTTTGATGCTGGCAAATTATCAGGAAGTTTCAAGGAGCGGCACTGTGATGGTTCACTGATCTCAGTCAACTTCCAGATTCTAGATTTCTCTGCAGGCTCATCCACAATTCTCGGTTTCACATCTGCCAAATTTCGACTTTCGCCATTCTACAAGAGTTCATGTTTAAAAAATCCACATTAAGAATCTCCATTCCCACTTGATATTCTAAAAGAAAATAAAGGAAACCTCACCATTGCAACAATGGATGTCATTGGAGACATTCGATCTACAATGGTTGGTACAACAGGTCCATTTGGAGCACCGAAGTTCCCCATTGCAGGTGGCTGCAAATGAAAAGTTTTCGATGACATCTTTTCTGGAGCCAAAAACAAGAATACAAAAAGAATTGAAATAGATCAGTCTACCTTCACAGCAGCAGAGGTAACTCTAGAAACATCAAATGGACGATTTTCCATTGTTCGCAAGAGCCTAGCACCATCTGCATTTGCCAAAATTTTGATGCTATTCTCACTTGTTGAAACAGCCAATAACATTCCTTCTTTGTTAAATCTAAGACAAGGAGATGCCTGCAATATATAAATTCAGCAGTAAGTTTTAACAATATATGTTGGAAAATTATAACTTCCAATAGTAATATTCACCGGTAATCCGCCATCCGCATCAGTAGTGGTCAACAAGTTCACATTGTCCATATCCCAAAATTTGACTGTGAACTCATCACCAGCTGCAAGAAACCTGTTCTTAGTAGTATCAAATTGAACAATCCCCGAAGAACGCTTCCCAATACCAAGATAAGTTCGCTTAACAGCTCCATCACTTTCATTCCACTCAACAAGGAATGACTCCCCTTCTTTGTTGGTGCCGCATGAAAACAACCTATAAGTCATTGCATCAGGAAAAAGACACTTAATCCAAAAAATAAATGAGGAAGTACAGAGAATCAAACCAATTACAATGGCACGATATCTAACAAACCTCATGCCATCAGCACTGTAAGCCATAGTGGTTGATGAACGACCTGGAGCGTCATAATCAACTCTGGAACCCGCATTATCATACAACCATGCTTTTATTTTTCCATCAGTTGCCAATGAGAAGATAAACTGATGTTGGGGGACCAAAAAAGAGAGAGAGAGAGAGAGATGTAAGTCAAACATCAGTGACATAGTTTGCAAAATTTAAACATAAAAAGAAAAGGATATATGCTAGAACCTTGGGATGATAACTTGGAAAAAAAAAAAAAAAAAACTGGACTTTACAAAAACTAAAATCAAGCATGTGTCAAATAAGCCTCATTTTCCAACTGATTAAACCTAACTTTTCATTAGATCTCCAAGTCCAATAAATTATAGTTTTCTGCAAAGATATGGGTTTTTCTGTTCAATGCTGCACTTAGATAACAAAGAGTAATTGCAGGGTAAGCATAGAGTGATAGAGAGGAACAATAAAGCAGGTGAAAGCCCATGCAGGGTAGGTTAGTTTTTTTTTTTTTTTTAAATAATAGGCAGGGTAAGTATGATTACGGGATACAACCAATTAATTCAAGTATAAAATTTTTACCTGAATATTTTCTTTGTGATGTGGACATACGGAATAAACAGGCGCTTCATGTCCCTCAAAGGTGTACTGTTTAGTGCCTGTTACTGTATCCCACACCTGTAAAATGTAAAAAACATTTGATGTATAAGAAAGTGAAATGTTCATATCTAAGGCCAAATAATTGGGAAGACTAATGAAGGTAGTGATTTCAACCCCAGGAATACTACAGAAAGTAATCAGTCAAAGAACCAACCTTAATTAGCTTGTCCTCCCCACAAGTAATGATACAAAGTTGTTTGTTGGGATATGAGAAAGCAATATCATTGACACTTCCTATGTGAGCTTCAATCTGATTTTATTTTATTTATAAAAAAAAATCAGTAAGAATAAGAAATGTCACCTTTAATAGCTAAATTAGAAAATTGCCAGTAAATAGTATGCACTCAAGATAGCAATAGCTAACCTCAAAATGGTTTCTTAAATCATCAGCACCATGATATGAGTAGATGTGCACAATATGTTTGGAGTATGCAACACCTTTTGGGAAAATAAGAGAAATAAAAAACAGTCGAGTCAATGAAATTGATAGAAATACAATATTAATATGGCTAAGCCAATGCCTATTTCAACATCTAATTCATAGAAGTTTCTCAGTACATACCAAATAGAGATCCATCAGGGCTCCACATTACACGATTAATTGAAGCAGAGTACTCTTTAGCCATAGAAGCCTAATACAAGATAGAAACTTGAAGTTGTTAAATCTAAAAATTATCGGATGATTAATATATATAAGAATTAATCTTCAGTACAGATTAAGATTTTGTAAAAGGCATACCTGCAAGGTCGCAGAACATGCCTCAATATCCCAAACTTTGAAACTTTTGTGAGCAAGCCTCTCCCTAGTACCTAATTCCCAAATCATTATCTCTCCTGAGCTTGTCCCAACTGAAATATATTTCAAAAAATCATTGAGGGAAAACCAATGTTACCACAAAACAAAAATTGATCAGAATAGAATTTTATTAATGCTAATAAATACAATTTTGAGAACTAACCAAGAAGTAGAATCTGGTGCACAGGATGAAAATCCATACTCTTGACTGCTGAACCCTGGTTCAATGTCATAACAACAGCTTTTGGCAAATCATCTGTTGAGCATGAACTTTGACCATGATTCTGGTTGCCATATCCAACAGGTAAAATACTGACAGACATATTGTGAACCTGCAAATAACTTTCTTTTATAAGATTTATACTTCACTTACAAATAGGAGGGTAAAAGACAAAGGTATTAGTAGAGCATCAGGTCCTCCATAATAAACCGTAGAAATAACTTGCACAAACCTCAGAATGCAAGCAAGCACACTTGGCATGCATATTTAGTTCACATTAGCTCAAGAAAATGTTTAATTTCTATCATGTAAACAAAACTATAAAATAAATTAAACTTGAGCAAATATCATACTTCATCAGAAATTCCAAATGGTCTTGGCCTCTTCAACACATGTTCAGAATCAGCTGTTTGATAGTCCAAAGGTGGATTATTTGTCGGTGGAGTCCTAGGACGCTTTATTAAGCCTGTTACAAAATAATTAGCACCAAAATCAAGGACTATCAACTAAAAAATAGCCCCCAGGGGAGGGGGTACTAAATTTTCATAAATTAATTAATAAAGATATCCCCTTATAATATTCATCTTAAAACAAATCAAATGCTGTTGAGCCTTATGAGAAATTTTAATACTATACAAACCTGCATTGCTTGGTGGAGTGAAACCAATGGGCCCAGCCGAAGGTTGGGGATGAGGAATCTGAGATGGATTAGCCATCCAACCCGCAAGAGATGTTGGCAGAGGAGCAGGTGATGGCTGAAAAGGCTAAACGAAGCCCAAAAATAAAATAAAAATTAAAAAGAGTCAAGGTGTAAGAAACCATGAAGAAATTATTTGCTAGTTTATCTTTTTGACTTCAACTTACACCATGAGAACCTAGAGATGGAAATCCCCCAGACTTAGGAACAGCTCCCATTAGAGGATTAGTAACAGGGGAAGGGGCACGAGCACCATTTGGCTGTGACTGCCCACAAGAGTGATCAACAAATAATGTCTTTATGTCAGGATTAGGCTTTGGATTCTTACAGAGCTGGTGCTGCCAATTCAAACTGCAATCAGACAGAGAGCTACCAATTAGTAAAGACTGCATTGCATTGAAGTTTTTTCTACCAATTAGCAAAAGCTTCAATAATCTCAATGGAAACTTTAAAGGCTATAATCCACTGGAATCAAACCTCTGATTAATCAATGTCCGGAGCCTTGAGTTCTTCAAGGTTGGAAAGTTAAGTTTATCACGAAACAGGGGGTTTGCTTCAATCAATTTTTTCAGCTCACCAAGCATAATGTTCCTAGCAGAGTTGGTGTCTCCATATTTAGATAATTGCTCATTGTCTCTGCAAGTGTTTTATTCATATCAATTCCATTAAGTTCAATGGGGTATGATGAGAGATAACAGAGAGGCAATTTCTGGATAAATCCTTAATTACCTGAAATTCTCAAGAGTCAGAAGCTGTGTTATTTCTTTGAAAAGATCTTCATTAAAAGCAGAAAAAACCTTCAAGTCCTTTACTAGTATTTCAACACCTTTAGAGCGATCCTTCCTACATGTATGCAGATTGAATCAAAGTTAATAATGCACTCAAATGGATCATCAAACAGAAACTTTAATAGTTCCATGGCTTGCAGTAGACTCTGACCCACCTGTCAAGAGCTTCGAGATATTTTTGCTTTCTGATCTCAAAGAAGATTTTCATTGAATATCTGTTATCATCAACCTTTGTGAAGCCTGAAAGATACTTTTCTACCTCATCCCATTCTCCATTTGTTACCAATTCACCGAAGTGTTGCATATTAAAGAAAAACCCTGACTCTTGTTCCAACCTTCAGCATATAAATTAAGCCCCAAAAAATGTCAATTAACAGCATTAAAAATAATTGAAATAAAACACCAAACATCCCAAATCAAATACCAAAAGTGTATTTACTTAACAACTCCAGGAAACAAACATTTCAAACAGAAGGTTATCTCAATTTAATATATAAAGACTAAATATGGGGCCCAAAATAATAATCATCATCAAATTAAGCTGACCATAGGCACAAGTCTAACTTGGTAAATTTCACTGTAGTTAGATCCAAAAATGAACAGCTTAAAAAAATATCAATTCTCATTTTCCATTTCCTAATTCTTTTCAGCAACCGACGTGCCGGAAAAGAATCACCAAAAGTATTCCCGGACACCGGTCCCCGCCAAAAAATAAAAATAAAAATAAACGAGATTAAACCCAAGAAAAAAAAAAAAAAAAAAAAAAAAAAACTGAAATTTAAAACCCTACCTGTGAACAGTATCTTTGAATTTCTCTTCATCCAGAAATTGAAGTATCAAAAACACAAGCTCTCTGCTCAGGGACGACATGTTTTTCCCCTCACTCAACGCACCTGCAAATTATTTATTAAAGAAAAATCCAAAATTAAATTTTTAAAAAAAATAAAAATAAAAATAAAAATCACACGAAAATCAATTCCATCACAGATCAATTCAAACGCCGCCATCACACAATTCCCGTCACCGATTCCCCTCAAAATCAAATTTCTCAAAAATAAAAGATGCGCAGACACACACAGAGACACATACGCGAATATAAACAAGTATGCGAACAGAGACCTCTATATACACTCTTGCATGTGTATCTATAGGTGTGCGTGTGTATTTATATATATACATATACACACATATATATAGAGAGATAGAAAGTAGGGTGCCTTGAATGAATGAGAGAGAAAGAGAACAGATCGGAGGGTTTTTGTGTAGAGAGAAGGTGTACCTTTTGGTTACTGCAATTTCTCTCTCTACAAAAAAACAATAATTTTTTATACCTTCTCTCTCTAGGTATTTGAAGGAGAAGTTCATGTGAAGCGAAGAACCAAAATGTGTATCAGACAAATAAATAGAGCGAGATGATACGAGGGATTTGATAAGTAGACTTGCTTATCAGTGATACGCTATTTCTCTTATTGAATTTGCAGATAAGACAATGCGCTTATAGACGTTTTAACAAGTCTAATAAAGGATTTGTATTGAGCTGGACGGGGTTTCCGAGGAATTAGTGTACGAGTAGAGAGAAGATAACGTGTGGACGCCTTTACGGAAGAGAAATGGACCCTCATTTTTTACGTAGACACGTCACTTTCTTAATCCGGAGTATTTTAGTTTTCCGTTTTCGCCAATTTTTTCTATTTCGATTATTTTTTATATTTTGGTAATACAATCTTTATATTTATTACTTATTCATAAATGGATGGATCTTCTCTTTTATGTATTTGAAAAAGTCAATTCAGTAATTATTATATTTAAAAAAATAACAAATAATCATATATGAACGTAAATTTAAGTAGCATTAATGATATTTCTTTATTTGACTAACTCATAGCGAGATATTGAGTCGGTCGGCTAATTTACATATAATTAATAGAGTTAATTCCAAAAATATTTCCTTGAGTATTGGTATTTACCAATTTTTATATTTGATTTTTAATTTAACCATAAATGATCTATTGACGATTAACATTTACTAATTTTCATTCTCAACTTTTAATTTGACCATAAATGGTCGCTTATCTGTTGATTTTGATCCAAATTTGATTCTCTGATAAAATATCCATTCAGTAAACATTAAATTTAAGAGTAATGCTGTAATATTTTGTTTGTCACATTCCCGCTAAAGATGAACTCAATGTATTAAGTTTATGTGAACCCAATTTGTCCATCTCAACAAGCAGTCAATTTTTATATTATTATCGTTAAATTTAATATATTAAATAAATATTTAATCGGATGATCAAATTTAGTAAAAAATAAATAGTCAGTGGATTATTTATGATCAAATTGAAAGTCGAGAATGAAAATTGATAAATGACAATAATCAAGGTACCATTTATAATCAAATTGAAAGTCGATAAAAATTGATAAACGTCAATAATTAAAAGACCATTTATGGAATTAACTCTAATTAATAAATATGAAAAAATTATTTTTAAATACTATAATAATGTTACCACATGAAGTAAAAAATTTAATAATTAATCAATTATAACATTGTCACGATAAAATAAGATTTTTATTGTCATAAGTAATTTCATTATTTTTTCCTTATTTTGTTTTTCATAATTTGCAGCGACTTTTTTTTTGGACGGATATGATTATGACTACTTTGGAAAGTTTCAAAAGAGGAAACAGATCGCAAGAATTTAGTATGAAATTGATTAAAAAGTAAATATGAAAATATCGACCAAAGTTCATTCTTTGTTTAGTTGCATTTAGCTAGTTGTCTTGTCCAAATGCATTACATTGTGTTCATAAATTAGGATTGTTTCCACCTACCTTAAACATAAAGTAGGTTTGGTTTGTTCTTAATTTAATAATTAAAAGACTATTTATATCAATTTTTAAATATATTATATATTATTTATTAATGTACCAACACTACCATGTTGTAAGGGTAAACGGTAAATGTATTTTCTGTTATGCATCAATTAAAGTATGTCACGTTAATAAAGAGTACAAAATGAAGTAAAAGTGAAAATACATACATACATATACATATATATATATATATATATATATATATATATATATATATTTGTGCATGAAAGAAACCCGCACCTACTACTGATCAAGGGCGTACACTAAGGACAACAGACTCAATAGAAAAGATGTTATTAAAAATCAAATTTGTGATATACATATTTTAAAAAATCATACTTTATCTGGTCACCCCTTTCAGGGTAAAATATATATAGTATTATCCATATGACAGGTGTCATAATTACTTATTGGAATTGATTGCTATGAGTAAATTATGTAAAACTAATCACATGGTAAAATTAAAGACTTGGTAACAAAATTCTGGCAATAATTTGTTGATAGAGTTAATTATGTAAAAACGTATTAAATAATAAAAGATTTGGTAAAATAATTTTGAACATTGTAGAATTGTTAAAATATTTGTATTGGAAATATGATTTGTATAAAATATTGGTACTAAATTTTGCCCATAAAAGACAAAATTTTCTCGTCTCCACAATCTGACTCGACAAGTTAATATATGAATAATCACAGTGACCAAATCCTAATACCCACAATTCGACAAGGAGTCTACCAAATTGGATTTGAACTCTCACATTGCAGCTGTCAGAGCTCATTCTTGTGCCACTGCCTACAATCTATTACCCATGAACTAAATCTCATACTATGTAATGTGGTTTCATTTAATTGAGTATAAAATTTAATAATTTACAATTAACTAAATATATAAATGATAATAACATAGCTTAATACAATATTTCATAGAGTTAATGATAGACGTTTTCTATTCATAGCAAAACTCAAATTAAATTATCAAACTGTAAAAGTGTATAATTAAATAATTTTAATTTGAGTTTTCCTGTCAAAAGAATAATTTTAATTTACTGGTCAAGTATGTGTACAACAAGTTAAAGATAGCTAAGGAGCTATGAAGATCTTGGACCGAAAGTATAATTAAGAGTGAAGATGTTAGGGTAAAGAAATCTGTCAATTGGCCGATTTCTTAATTACAAAATGGTGAACTTCAAAACCGTCCTGAGTCATATTGAAGATATTCATATGATCTTCAACGTAATGCGAGATGAAAGAAATGTTGTGAGTGAAGCCTTCCAAATGTCACTAATTATCCACTTGTTACCTCTAGCATTGAAGGGCTTCAACAACAACCTTAATCACAAGTAGAATGAGATGAATATGGAGATGTTGATCATCTAATTCATGATTGAGGAGGACAATATGAAAATTGATGGAAAATGTCCTAGAGGTGTTAAAGCTAAAATTGTGGAGCATGGTAAAAGCTCCAAGAATAACAAGCAAAAACTTGGTCCAAAATGAAGTGTTTCAAATAAGTAATTCCACGAAAAATATTTCAATTTGGACAAGATAAGTCACAGATCTTCCGATTACAAGGCATCTAATAATAATAATAATAATAATAATAATAATAATAATAATAATAATAATAATAATAATAATAATAATAATAATAATAATAATAATAATAATAATTAACAATAATAACAATAATAACAATAATAATAATAATAATAATAATAATAATAATAATAATTCTCATGTAAATATGGTGGAAAGCAATGAAAAGAGTTTGAAATAATCCTCTCGATTGTGATTTCTGAGGTGAACATGATCTGGTCTAACAAAAGGAATGGTTCATTGACACCTGTGCAACTCGACACATATGTTCTAACTCTAAGTTGTTCACTACCTTCGAGACAATCAATAGTGAGAATGTATAGATGGGAATTCTGATGAATCTACTCTAGAAAGTGTGGGCAATGTGGTTCTCAATATGACCTCCGAGAAGGAACTCACTTTGAACAAGGGTTTTGCGCGTGCCAGAAGTGCGCAAGAACTTGGTTTTTGGTTCGTTGATGAACAAGCATTACTTCCAGGTGGTTTTGAGTACAATAAGATTGTTTTGTCTAAGATTGAAATGTATGTAGGCAAATGTTATGTACTTGATAGGCTTTTAAGTTCAATATATCAACTATTATTAATAAAAATAGGGAAAATGATCAAATATGCCCCTAAACATTACTCAAGAAGTGAATTAGGCCTTTCAACTTTCATATGTTACAATTAAGCCCTTAAACATATCATTTTAGAGCATCGAGACCCAAAAACCTGTTGGTGACCTATAATTACAAGTCACTAGAGTTGGCAAACCTCTGGCGAATTTCCGACCATATTCCGACAAATAATACCGGCGAAACAGTCGTTGGTGTAGTTTGGTTGCCTTCTCCTTCGCCAGAGAAGGCAACCAAATGGGTCGTGTTCTCCAGTCCCGCGAAGGAGAAGGCAACCATATCCGGGGAAGGAGAAGGGTCTCCTTCTCCCGCAAATGAGAAGGGGCCTTCGCGAGAGTGGGTCGCCTTCTCCGACGACTGGAGAACGCAACCATGGTTGCCTTCTCCAGTCGCCGGAGAAGGCAACACCGGCGACCGTTTCACCGGTGTTATTTGCCGAGATATGGTCGAAAATTCGCCGGAACTCTAGTGACCTGTAATTATAGGTCACCAATTGATTTTTGAGCATCAATGCTATAAATTGATATATTTAAGGGCTTAATTGCAATATTTGAAAGTTGAAGGGCGTAATTGACTTTTTGAGTAATGTTTAGTAGGGGTGTTCAATCGGTTAACCGAATCGATTTAACCAAAGTTTTTAAACATTTAACCGTTAACCGAACCGAAGTTTGTGTTACCGAATTAACAGAATCGAAATTTTTTTCGGTTAACCGACTAATCGAACTTTTTTAAGTTAAAATTTGAAATCCTAAAAATAACACTTAAAATAATAAATTCAATTAAAATAATACATATTATAATAAATTCATAACAAAATATACAAAAACAATACCGTAACAACACTATAAACATATTACATTACATATTATATTTAAATATTTAATACATTATACATATATATATATATATATATATATATATATTAAAAAGTTCGGTTAAACGTTCAGTTAACCGACACTTTCGAACTGAATTAACCATTAACCGAACTTTGGAAAAACCTTTAACCATTAACCAAATCGAAAAAGTTCGGTTAAAAAACGGTTAACCGAACTTTGCCGGCTCGGTCGGTTAACCGAAAATTATTCGAAGTTTGCACACCCCTAATGTTCAGGGGCCTATTTGACCTATTCCCATTAAAAT